AGGGACAGCGGCCTATAAATACTGCTGCTGTCATTAATTATCATCAAACAACAAAACAGCTGTGATAAAAAAAATATATTTAATTTATACAGTGAACACTCTGCAGTGTTATTTTCCCTAATTATTACATTTCTGGATTTGAATACTACCAACCTTATTTTATTTGTAACATATTCTGTTGTATTTATCTATGATTGTAATTTGTGTATTTGTTTTTATTTTTACTGGCTGTTCTCTTGTGTCTTTAATCATGTTTAAACTTTCTTAGTTAATCTAGTAGTATTTGCTGTGGTATCAAAGAAGTACTTCGCTTTAAGTAAGTGGAAAGCAAGTTAAATTGAACTATTTTTCTTTTCTTGCTGATCCGAAAAATGATCCGATCCGTGGGTCAAAAACTGTAATGTGATCCGAACCGTGAGATTTGTGATCCGTTGAACCACTGTTAGTGTATGTATTTTATTGGATTTAATATTGAATTATAATTGATTATAATATAAATTTTATTTAATTTTATATGTATAAAATTAATGTATCAATGCAAGCTCTATCTCCCTAATTTGAATATATATTTTAGACTTTTTGTTATAAATTGTTTATTTTATAACATTTTATTTTTATTTTATTCCATCCTATTTTAATTGGATTCCAGGAGTTAATATGGAGTAAAAAATCCAAAGCATTTGCCTTAGGTGTGTGCAATATTAACAGAAACTGATATCTCAATATTTCTGGGATTTTGGTGTCAGGGTTGAGTTAAATTTCTATTTTTTATTTTCATTTCCGTTTTAGTAGGTTTGTTTTGTGTTTTGTTTTTTTCCTTTCTATAGTTTTTTTTTTCAAATGTCTATATAGTTTTCATTAATAAAAATTATATAAAATTTCAGTTTTAGTTATTTTAGTACATGTTAGTAGAAATGTTGCCTTGCCAACTTGCTGAAATAAAGTTTTAAGTTTTATATTTTAATTTATTTTGGTTAAAGATTATTTAAATTAACCAAAATCTGTTTTATGGTTTTAGTTTTATTTAAGTATAATAACCCTGTTTGGTGTTGACTATACAGTATTTAGACAATATTTAGCATCCTTCAAAAAATGTGTTTGTGAAACCTTTACATTGTACTAGCTTGTTCTTGTTAATAGGATGTTAATTATTTCTGACTAATACATAACATCAATGTAAAATGCATCAGATACAGCCAAGGTGGCTAATTTTCAAAAATTATTAGTAAATGTTGAGATTAAAAAGTGCTCTTACCTGGCTGACAAAGGTTTTTAAGGTACAATTTTATTTTATTTTATTTTATTTTTGGAACCAATATATTTAAGGAAAAGAGGCCTTCTTGATTCACTTGAAACTGCAGCATTCAAGTAAAACAATACAGAAATATTTCATTGTTGCCAACAGGATTTACTTTGTTAGACTAACAAAACTATTAACAAAAATATTAGTTTTTGTTCTCACACATGTTGACATGAATGTATTCAGGGGTTTATATACACACACACACACACACACACACACACACACACTCACAGACCTGTATACAGTGGGTACGGAAAGTATTCAGACCCCCTTCAATTTTTCACTCTTTGTTATATTGCAGCCATTTGTGAAAAATTGAAGGGGGTATGAATACTTTCCGTACCCACTGTAAATACACACACACACACACTCACAGACCTGTATAAATACACACACACACTCACAGACCTGTATAAATACACACACACACTCGCACCGGTCTGATGTTAAATTCTGTGCTGTGGATGTGTGTTAAATATTTCATTTGGCCTTTTGTGTTTCAGGCCCCCAAGACCAGGAACCCCTGAGACCCTGAGAAAAAGCACCCCGCAGGCCTCCAGCCCAGCCCTGCAAGCTCAGATCAAACAAGGTAACTACAAAGACAGAGCGCTCGCCTCCAAAATAAAGTCTGCCCACATGAAAACCTCTGCTCTGGCTGTAAAACAAACAGCAGAGCGCTGCTTCACACACAAACCCTGCCACTGCTCTCTTCAGACTCTCTCAGGATCAGATGCTTCATGCAATACTTCTTTTCAATACATTTATTTTCTGTCAAAACAAGTTCCTTTTAAAAATGTTTACAACAAGGTCTTATTGGTTAATGCATTGAGCAATATATATATTTACAGAATTTATTAGTCTTGTTCATTTTTCATATCTATTGTGCATGAAAGGCACAATACTTTCTTTCTTTCTTTCAATCAGGAACAATGCACATTAATAATACATAAAATCAATGTAAAATGCGCCAGATTTAACCAAGGTGGCTAATTTTAAAAATGAATTAGTAATTGTTGAAATTAAAAAGTGCGCTTACAGGTGCATCTCAATAAATTAGAATGTCATGGAAAAGTTAATTTATTTCAGTAATTCAACTCAAATTGTGAAACTCGTGTATTAAATAAATGAAATGCACACAGACTGAAGTAGTTTAAGTCTTTGGTTCTTTTAATTGTGATGATTTTGGCTCACATTTAACAAAAACCCACCAATTCACTATCTCAACAAATTAGAATAATTCATAAGACCAATAAAAAAAACATTTTTAGTGAATTGTTGGCCTTCTGGAAAGTATGTTCATTTACTGTACATGTACTCAATACTTGGTAGC